TGAAGCAATAAAAGGACATTAAACATTTTATTTGAATATTTAAATAATATCTTATTTGTGAAATGTGTTGTCTTTTCTCGTTCTTTTAAAACTAATTCAAAAGATATGTCTGAGAAAGAGCAATTGGGTGGGTGGGCTTATTTTTAACGAGTGTGAAACTTTCACATTGTTAATACCTTTACACAATTATTTTTTGGCTATATAGTGGTGTCGTCACAGACATATAAAAGAAAATAAATTAGCTACCTCCACTGATTCGTTAAAAATAGCTTACCAGGATGTAAAATGACGCAACCTTAATAAAAGCAAAGTTTTATCGTCAAAATTTTTGTTCTTATTAACAGAAAAGGATTTTTTGCCTTTTTTTTATTTTTATTATTATTATTATTATTTATTTAATTATTTAATATGGTTATTTATTTATTTATCATCATCATCATCATCATCATCATCCTTTTCCTCCTGCTCCTCCATATTAGAACGTTCGAAATTTTTGCGTCGGCGGGATGGAGAACAAACATTAGCATAGGAAAATTTGAACGTTTTTTTTGCGGGGGGTGAAAAACGTGTTGATTTGGAAATTCTTGAAAAAAAATCAGATAATTGTTACTATAGAAGAAAGCTATTTTGATTCACTTTAAATCATTTGCAGAATGGCGATTTTCTAAGCGTGGCTCAGATGTCATACAAGGCAGAATAAATGATGATGATGAATCATTATTTTAGTCGTCTAACGTGTCGTCTTTCTTCATTATTTTAAAAGATTTAAAATATAATTTAATATTTATAGAATAATTTAAAAGATATGGCTGAGAATAGAACAATTTTGAAGGACTTGACGAGTGTGAGACTTCGACATTCTTCGTGCCTTTTCGCAATCACTTCGGGCTTATATTCAAAAACAGACGACAATCGTTTCTCGACTTTTTTACTCGGAATGAAAGTATAGTACGTGTTCTCTCCTGATTTTAGAGAGGGGAGCCGTCCGGTTCATTTCTAAAATTATAACAAATCAAAATTATATTTCACTCATCTAATGTGGCATCTTTCCTTTTTATTTTAGAAACAATTTCAAATTTACACTATTTACATTATTCGGACTATTTAATGGATGTCAGTTGTCAGTTGTCTCCTGTTAAACATGGCATGTGGAACTAGAAGAGTCTACCCCAGTGAGAGAAATAAAAGTTTCAGTTCGACATTTCAACCACCTGAAGAAGGCCGGAGCGTGCAACGGCCGAAACGCTGTAATAAATATGGGGGCAAAGATGAGGACAATAGTCCAAATAATGTAAATGGTGTACATAATACCTCATCTCAGAAATATAGACAGATACTGAATTTCAAATTTAAGGCTGAAATAAAAGAATATTTGGAGGAATTGACGAATGTGAAATTTCGACATTATTCATACCTTTTCGCAATCAGTTCATTGTTATATACAACAATGCACGATGGTCCCTGAAGATAAGGTTAACAAACGAAGAACATTACCAACGTGCTTTGTAAGGTTTCATATTTATCTGCGGTAAAAAAAAAAGCACGGTGGAGTAATTGAGATAATGAGATATTATGGTGGATGTAATAAGAAAGGTTAGTAAGAATGTGTTGTTTTGGTGTTAGGAATATTGTTTGTATGCTTGGGTCAGTGCTTGTGGCTAGCTAAGTTTAAAATTAAGACAGATGAAGACCGTCCTTTTCCCCATCCCCTTTTTTAGGCCTTGTGCAACATTTTCTGTATTTTTCACAGAAATATCGTAATGGATAGCGGCTCGAATGGAGGAATCGAAGAGGCGAGTTCGAATTTCAGTCGAATCCATTACATTCACTTACGTGCTAATACCCTTGGGAAAGGTATGAATCCTCTTCTTCTCTCCTGATTTATTTATTAACACAAACAAAACAATTTATTATAATTTATAATAAAAAGGAGGCACTGTGGAGTAATGGATAGCCTCTCGGATTGAGGAATCAGAGAGCCGAGTTCGAATTCCAGTCGAATCCATTACATTCACTTTACGTGCTAATACCCTCGATTGGGAAAGGTATGAATCCTCTTCTTCTCTCTGATTTATTTATTAACACAAACAAAACAATTTATTATAATTTATAATAAAAAGGAGGCACTGTGGAGTAATGGATAGCCGCTCAGATTGAGGAATCAGAGAGCCGAGTTCGAATTCAGTCGAATCCATTACATTCAATGCTAATACCCTTGGAAAGGTATGACCTCTTCTTCTCTCCTGATTTATTTATTAACACAAACAAAACAATTTATTATAATTTATAATAAAAGGAGGCGTGGAGTAATGGATAGCCGCTCGGATTGAGGAATCAGAGCCGAGTTCGAATTCCAGTCGAATCCATTACATTCTTTATGTGCTAATACCCTTGGGAAAGGTATGAATCTCTTCTCTCCTGATTTATTTATTAACACAAACAAAACAATTTATTATAATTTCTAATGAAAGGGAGACACTGTGGAGTAATGGATAGCCGCTCAGATTGAGGAATCGGAGAGCCGAGTTCGAATTCCAGCCGAATCCATTACATTCACTTACGTGCTAATATCCTTGGGAAAGGTATGAATCCTCTTCTTTTCCCCATTGAAACATCATTTCTTCTGTGGCTGCAGTACACAGGGGACCATCTTCGTGCCACGGGATAAAAAAAATCTTTGAGTCATGTAATGTGCCGCCTTTCCTTTTTATTTTTGAAATAATTTCAAAACTATGGCTGTAAAATAAAGAATATTTGAAGGGCTTAACGAATGGGAAACTTCGGATTTATTTATGCTTTATTTAATGTCTTCCTTAAAAAAAGAAGAAAAAAGCTATCTAAATGTTGCTAAAATATATCACGAGTAAAAAAATATTCAAGACGGATGCGGGCGAGCTAGGGGGTGGCTTCGTCTGGGTGGGGACATAATTTCATTAACCTAGGGCTCCAAAAATTTCATTAATCTAGGGGCCCTGCCTCAAACAATTAATGCCAACCGTTTCTTCATTATTAATATCTGCTTAGAATTCTCGTTATTTCATTGTTGCTTTTTGTTGGAACTTTCTTGGTCGAACCGCCTTCAACCATTAAATTAAGTATTATCGTCAGTATTATTAGTTGGTAAGTCCCGATTAGTATCGAGATAGGTACTACAAGATTATAATGGACGAGGTTGCTGTTGGTCAGCCATTTGTAGTGGGAAGAGCTGCGACTTGTTGCTGATGAGGTGAAGACTAAATGAAACGAATACAACTCTGGATTATCTGTGTATATTTCTGAGATGAGGTATTATGTACATTATTTACATTATTCAGACTATTGTCCTCATCTTTGTCACCATATTTATCACAACGTTTCGGCCTTTCAGTATCTGTCTATATTTCTGAGATGAGGTATTATGTACATTATTTACATTATTCAGACTATTGTCCTCATCTTTGTCGCTATATTTATTAAAACGTTTTGGCCGTTGTACGCTCCGGCATTCTTCAGGTGGTTGGAATGTCGAACTGAACCCTTTATTTCGCTCACTGGGGTAGACGGTTCTCGTTCCACGTGCCATGTTTAATGGATGTCAGTTATCAGTTATCTCCTGTTAATTTCTCTCTGAAATTCTCCACTACCTTAACCGGGTATTGAACTCACACTCTTTGAGAAATTAATTTAAACACACGGAAGAAATTTACGAATGTACATTTTGAACAGGAGTAGAGGTTTACCCCTTCCTTCCATTTTAGGAATGGTTTTCCGGTTCCTTCTACTAAAGTCTTCTCGTTATCTTTCAAGCCCTGTAACCTTTGCGTCTTAGTGGCATTATCGCCTTGTTTCGGGTGAATTGATAAAAAAAAAAATGATAATTCCTCATCTTAGAAATTCTGACTGAAACATTTCTTCATCATTTTTTATTTTATTTTTTTTTTCATCACAATTTTCTTGGTCAAAATTATCAGGAAACTTTCACGGTTTTCCTGTTTGAATTTTGTTTTCTTTCTTTTTCCTTTCTTTTTTTCCTTCTTTTTTTCCTTCTTTTTTCTTTTTTCTTTCTATCTTTTTTTCTTTATTTTCCTCTTCTTTTTTTCTTCTTTCTTTCTTTTTTTTTTCTTTCTTTCTCTTTCTTTTTCTCATTGAAATCAAACAGCGTCTCTGGTATATCTGTTCTTCTTTTGCTCTTGATCATAACGGAATAGTCCATTATTTATGAGGTGTTAGCATAGCGTTTCATTCTTTCTTTCTTTCTTTCTTTGTATATTTCTTTCTTTTTCTCACTGAAACCAAGTAGCGTCTATGATATGTCTTTTCTATCATTTCACGCGATCAAAACGGAATAGTCCATTATTGATGGGGGATTGGCAGGATTTAACGGTTGTGCTAAGGGAGGAACAAGCAGAATATTATTATTATTATTAGTAGTAGTAGTAGTAGCCAAAATACAGGGCATGGTAGAAATACCTCACACATACGCCTCCCAGGAATACCTTGCACATAATGGTAAGATGTTAACTAGATGAAGACGTCACTGCCACTAATGTCTTACCATTATGAGGAATATATTTCGGGGGGGTATATATCGGAGGTATTTCTGCCACATCGTGCAGAATCAGGAGAAAAATGTTACAAAAAAATCGGAATTTTCGGACACAACGAAAAATAAAACAAAGTTAGACTTTGGTGGATGGTTGTGTTGCGCATGCGTAGATTTATTTATTTCTTTATTTTTATATTAAGATTGATTGCTTGTTCAATTTTCTACGGTTTGTCAACCCTATGCGGGTTATTTGAAACAAAAAAATATTTTTAGATTGTAAGAATTTTTTTTTTTTAGATAATAATTGTTTTAGTAATACAATTCTTACTAATTAATTCATAGCTAGGGGGAGAAGACGTGGATTCATACCTTTCACAACGGTATTTGCGCATGAACGAACTCAACGGTAATTGGTACTCGGCTCCCCGGATGAACTTCCGAGCCATTATTCATTACACCACGTGCATATCAAAACTTACAGCACCTGGTATTCCCAAGCAGTCATCCATCTAAGTACTGACCAGCTTCGACATTGCTTAACTTCGATGCTCGTACGGGAACCGATGTTCGATGTGATGTGTATGTAAGCCTTTACATTAAGAGTTCGTGAAGATAAGACAGAGAATACGAGATTATTTACGCTTTACACGAGATTATTTCGTTATTTTACGTTGTTTTAACTTAGCTGGGAGGTTTTTATGCTTCGTTACACCGCTTTCTCTGATGGGTATGAGATTCTTGCATTGATTAATGTGTTTGACTATTATAGTGTCTAAGAGAAGGAAAAGCAGAATTGTAATAAAATATATGGAATTTAAGGGCTGCGTGCTTGTGTAGTGTAGGTGTGTGTTCGAGTTCACATGTAAACACTTAATGAAGAAGCATACAAAAAACTTGGGTTTCTACTACGGTCCATTTATTCTTCACATATATATATATATATATATATATATATATATATATATTGAAACTTGACTAATGCATGGAATAATAATACAACACAAAATGTACTTAGAACAAAATGTATTGAAACAAGAAAGTGTACACAATATTTACATATAGTCTTTTTGTATATTCTTGGGAAGACCGTTCCTGGAGAATGTGTTGACTTAGTCGCAGTCGGGCAGAGTCTCTGGATTGAATCTCTTGATTCCTTCCCTCTCTTCCCGGTACCAACCATATTTATATGGTCGGTACTCCACTATGCAACTTAGGTGGATCCTACCACAACAATATATATATATATATATATATATATATATATATATATATATATATATATATATATATATATATGCATGTTTCATTAAATAATATTTCATATCGTCAGATAAGCTTAATAATAATATCATTAAAAGAAGAAAGAAAATCACAATACTGATACATATTTTTCATCCTGTCTAAGCTTTCGACTAACATAAGCCATTATCAAAGATGACATTTACCTTACAATATATTAAACAATGCACAGACAAAACAATATTGATAGTCTGTTTTTGTTTACATGGAAGATTTCCAAGCAACAACAAATTCGTGGAGACGAGACGCTGGAAGCGAAAATCGCACCGCAGCTCATGAAGTCACACATGACCACGCGAAAAACGAGTGAAAACAAGAAGTATTAAGTATGGGGAGCCGTTGGTATAAACCAATGGCTTCTGTTATCAATTATAGTCATTTAAGAATATTTGTGGAGATTTCATAGTTTATTTTGTTCAGGTTAGGTTCCAACTGTTTTATATATATAGCTTCAAGAATTTTTAGTTTTTGTTTATTGTTTTCATAAGTATAGTTGTGTTTTCAACGAGGATTTTCCGGAATTGTGTATGCGGTCAGGCATGTTGTTTTAAATGCCTAAAAATGTTATTATTCAAATGTAGTGTCAAGCGTCGTGAAAGCGAGTTTGTGGTGTGACCAACATAAATATTATTTTATCCATTGGAGATACAATCTCGCAATGGGCACTTGAATTTGTAAATTGTGTTGGTTTTTTTTTTAATATATATATATATATATATATATATATATATATATATATATATATATATAACCTGTGGAAGAAAAAGTTATCAATGTCTCTTGAGTGTGTCTGTTTTCTTTTCTAGTTCAGAAGTACGTTGAGGTAAATAAGGATGATTACAATAATCGAGCTTAAATCAGTCTTGTGCTGAGTTGGAACGACCAAAGTTAGGTTTGTACTTACTTTATCGTTGGAGAGTTGGCATGATTACAATGGTCGCGGTGAAGTCAGTCTTTACTGACCAAAATTTGAACAACCAAAGTTAAGTTTGTACTTAACTTTATCGTTCGAGAGTTGGCTTGATTACAGTGGTCGAGGTGAAGTAAGCCTTGCGCTGATTTGGAACGACCAAAGTAAAGTTTGTACTTACTTCATCGTTGGAGGATTGGCCTTATTAAAATGGTCGTGGTCTAGTCAGCTTTGCGCTGAGATGGAACAACCAACGTAAACTTTATGCTTCATCGTTGGAGAGTCGGCATGTTTATAAGTGTGAAGGTGATGTCAGTCTTGCGCTGAGTTGGAACGACCAAAATAAAGTTTATACTTACTCCATCGTTGGATGGTCGGCATAGTTATAACGGCTGAGTTGGTTCGACCAAAGAAAAGGTTGATTTAATTCATAGGTGGAAGTTTTGGAAAAGACGTGCGAATGATATGCCTTGGAAATTGGAAGAGAGAGTTCAGTCGTCAGTTGACCCGAGAAACAAACGTTCCACAGCTGAGACATCCATTTTTTCTTTTTTCATTTTTTTTTTTTTTTTTTTTTTGTACTTTCTGGTATATCTTTGAGCAAGAGAGAGAAGAGAAAAAGTTAAAAAAAAGAAATTATTGTCTTTTTTATAGACTTAAACAGCGCCGCTAATCGGCGTTTGACGAAGCAAAGTGGGGTTTAAAATTTCCTTTTCCTTTATTACTAGCATCATGTGAAGATGTTTTTCGTTTTCTTTTATTTATTATTATTATTATCATCATTATTATTATTATTATTATTATTGATCTTATTACTTTTTTCCACAGATAGTATTGGCATTATCAATATTTGATTAATCTTTTTTCCATCTGATTATTATTTTCTATACTCTCCAACTATCAATAGAAATAGAATTCTTATTTTTCCTTTTCTTTTAGGAATGCCTACATCTTATTTTCACTGTTTATAGTTAATTTCCAGGTCAAACAACTTCAGATCGTTAAACCCCAACCTATGACGCCGGAGGCCAAAAAATCTTAATTCCTTTAACCATTACTGAGTACGTCTGTCTATGTTTGCTTCTCAGTGCGTTCCTCTGCCTACGTGCTTATGTATACAAACACATTTGTGTGGGCATGTGTCTATGAGTGTGTCTGCGTGCTTTTTACAGGAATATCATTGACCAAAGTTCGTCCGTCCTTGTTGATGAATATTACAAGCGCTAAGCTTGACAATCTGTTGAAATTAATTCATTTGAGTGGAAGGCGGAAGGTAGCCGACCACTCCAACATCTGTTCTTAAAGCTCAATATATCCCCCGTGATCAACAACAACAACAACAAGTGTCTCAGAGACAAGGAGATTAACCACACACATCGGCACATGATGAAAATACACAGAAGAAAAAAAATTATCGTTCATTGACCCCGCTAAATGCTACGAGTGAATAAAGAGACCTTTGTAGACGAAATGTAGGGTTTGTTATCTTTTTATTTACTACTGTTCATTCATTACAAGACAAAAGAAGCACTCAAGGTAGAGTGTTACTGTGTGATGTTGTATGAGTGTAAGAATGGGCAAGAAGTAAAGTTTGTGGGCTTATGTAGGAAAGATAAATTAACCCTAGACTTGAAGAGGTTAAAATTGTAGTGGTTGGGTTTTGGCTTGGTTTGGTTTGTTTTACGGCATATCAATCTCAATAGGTTATTTAATGCCAACAATTTTTTTTTATTTTTGGTAATATTTTTTCTTCAAAATGTATAGCTGGTAATATCTTTTTTTTTTTTCAAAAATGTATTGCTGGTAATAATTTTTTTTACAAAGTATTTCTGGTATTAAAACCTATTTTTACACTTATATAGTATTTTGACAGTTTGGGGGCTAACTATTTACCCATAGTTGGGACCCTAACAGGTGCTACAACCCCGAGTCAGGGTGGACCTGGGAACACCAGCAATTAAGAGGTGGTTCCACGCTCCTCAAAACCTACTGATCAGAGGCCTTGCTGCTTGACGTAGTTTATCGTCTTGCGCAGTGCGCCGATGTAGTTTATCGTCATACCCGGGACGAAGTGGTTGGGAAAACATCCTGATGGGAGTCTGTTTCACAAAGCAGCAGTTATTTGAAAGAAGCTGTCCGAATGGAACCTACTTCTTATAGCAATACTAAGAAAATGGGGTTTATTCACCCTCGTGTACATAACTCCATTTGTCTGGGGTGGTGGGACTAAGGAATAACGCGTCAGGATTCACTATTTGCCCATAGCCGGGACCCTAATAGGTGCTTACCGCTCCGGGTCAGGGTGGACCTGGGAGGTGGTATTAAAAAAAGGTTTCTCAAGCGGTGCGCCCAGGCACACTAATGCGCCCTGAAAGGTAGCCAAATGCACCCCAAGTTATCAGAAGAATGATTTATTAATCATTTTATATCTAAAAAAAAATCTTTATTTTTAAAAAAGCTAGAGACATGAAGGGCATGGCTTCCATGTCTAAGTCAGTCTTTGTTATATGATATTTTAAACTTGATGGTAAATTCCTTGATCTTTAAGAAGGAGTGGATAATCCTTTCCCTTTTGCCTTCCTCGACGGATTTAAATCAGTCATTGTCGATCTCTCCAAAAAAGTAAAAATAACAGATTCTTCCTAAATCCATTTAAATGAAAATTCTACCGCTCAAATAGATGATTATAATGTCTTAAAAAGAAATACTTATTTTAAGAGACTTCTTTACTATTTTCAAATTTTGTGACTTATTTTTTCCTTATTAAAATCTAAAGTACACCCTAGAGTTTTAGTTATTTTACAAGTGCACCCTGAATTAAAAATGGTTGAGAAACACTGCTTTATTGAAATCACTAAAATCTTTCTTCTTGCTCATATCTCTATGGTGGGCTTGTACTATAGACCCAAGCGGACATTTGTAGTTCATACGCTCATGAATGATTCTGCAGCTCAATTATGGTAATGAATTAATGTTATGTTTTAGGAGTGCTCTGATTTGGCCATTTTATAATAACAATTCGGTTTTAATCGCAGTGTTTCTCAATTGGGTCGCACAAATACGCCTTGAAAGATATCCAAGTGCGCCCCAAGTTAACAGAAGAATCATTTTATTATTTTTATATCTAAATTTTCTTCCATGTCTGAGTAAAGTTTTTGTTATTTGATATTTTAAACTGGATGCTAAATTCCTTAATCTTTAGGGAGTGGCTAATTCTTTTCTCTTTTGTCTTCTTTGGCGGTTTTAAATCAGTCATTATCGGTCTCTCCAAGAAAGAAAAATAGCAGATTCTTCATAAATCCATTTAAATGAAAATTCTAGCACCCAAATAGACGATGTAATGTCTTAAAAAGAAATGC